CCTTGCCAGAAAGTTCAGGTGAGGCATGGAATCCCATCCCAATCTGGGTGAACTCGCTCCCTCACTTGGATCAACACTTGAAGCTTGAAAATACAGCAAAATGACAAAATGAAAGACCAAAATGCAATTTCAAATATCCATACCATCCCAAAAAAGCCTAGGAGCCATGTGCATAGAAGAAAAAACATTCCACATAACTGAAATACCTGAAATAATAGTAACTGAAATAAAGAAGCAACTTTGGGAAGCATTAAAGAAATTCAAACTACAAATAATCTCGTAGGTAAAAAAAGAAATGTTAAAAGAAATGAAGGAGATTCTGAACATATCTAAAGAAGACACAGTTAAAAATTTGGAGGATCTAAACAAAAAGATAGAATCCCTGGATGAACTCTATAAGAAAAAAAACAGAATTCATAAAGCAGATGCAAAGTGATATACAGGAAATCAAAAACTCCACTGAAAGATGTAAAAATTGTCTCAATTAATATGAAGATAGAATCTCAGACCTTGAAGACAAGATTGCAGCCAGTGAACAGGAAAGGAAAGATCTTTTAAAAATAACAAGAAATCAGGAAATAACTATTGAACACCTGCAAGATGATGCAAAGCGGAACAACATAAGGTTGATAGGGATAAATGAAAAAGAAGGGGACAACATAAAGGATGTCAAGAGGATATTTAGAGAAGTAATCGCTGAAAATTTCCCAAAAACGAGATTGGAAACTGATATCAAGATCAATGAAGCATATAGAAATCCAAATAGACATAACCAAAATAAATCTACACCCAGACATATAATAATGACCATCCCAGAAATTGAGCAAATGAATAGAATATTAAAAGCTGTGAGAGAGAAGAGACGGACCACCTATACAGGAAAACATATCAGAATCACAGAAGACTTCTCAGCACAAACAATAAGTCAAAAAGAGCATGGAGCAAAGTATTTCAGATCCTAAAGGAAAATGATTTCCACGCTAGACTGATGTACTCTGCAAAACTGTCCTTCAAAATCGATGGAGATATAAGATACTTATATGACAAAGAAAAGCTGAAAAAGTTTATGATCACCAAGCCAACTCTGCAAAGAATACTGAAAGACAGCCTAGATACATTTAGGGAAAAAGCACTAAACAAAACAGACAGTTAAAAAGAGCAGAAACATAAAGATGCAACAGCAGAAAGATAACATGTCAACAATAAACCAATATATAACAGTTCTAATCATTAATGTAAATGGTCTCAATGGACCAATTAGAAGAAACCAACTGGCAGAATGGATTAAGAAACAAAATCCAACGATATGCTGTCTACAAGAAACCCATCTAAACCCAAAAGGATATTCACAGACTGAAAGTCAAAGGATAGAAAATAATACTTCATGCAACAGGAACCAAAAAAGGGGGGGGGTAGCTATTCTGTTTGCAGACAATGTGAACTTCAAGCCAATAATGATCAGAAGGGATAAAGAAGGTCACTACATACTGGTTAGGGGAAAACTCCAAGAGGAAGAGAAAACTATTTTAAATTTATATGCACCAAACTCCAGAGCACCCAGTTATATAAAACTAGTACTAACAAAAATGAAAAATCAAATTAGCATTAACACAATTCTAACAGGAGATCTTAACACACCATTGACACCAATGGACAGATCAACCAGACAGAAAATGACAAAGAAATAAAAGAACTGAATCGCACCTGTGAACAAGTGGACTTAACACATATACAGAGTATTCCTCCCAACAACAACAGCATACACATTCTTCTCAGTATTACATGGGTCACTCTCTAAAATAGACAATATGTTAATTCACAGAGCATATTTAAATAAATGCAAAAGGGTTGAAATTATCCCTTGCATGCTATCAGACCATACCACTATGAAATTAGAAATTAATGATAAGATACTGCAAAAATCCCACAAACACATGGAAACTGAATAACACTCTTGAGTAATCAGTGAGTCACAGAGGAAATTAAAGAAGAAGTTAAACAATACCTACAGACAACTGGAAACACAAATACAATGTACCAGAATCTGTGTGATGCAATGAAAGCTGTCCTCTGAGGAAAATTTAATGAACGATTTTCCACATTAGGAAAACAGAACGAATACAAATAAATAACCTGATGTTATACCTCAAACATCTAGAAAAAGAAGATCAAGTCAAGCCCAAAGCCAAAAGAAGAGGAGAAATTATAAAAATCAGAGCAGAAATCAATGCAACAGAGACTAAAAAAAGAATCCAAAAAAATCAATGAATCAAAGACCTGGTTCTTTGAAAGAATAAATAAAATCGAAAAGCCCCTTGCCAACCTTATTTAAAATATGAAAGAAAAAGTTGAAATACATGCAATAAGGAATAAAAGATGTGAAATTACTACAGACCGTGTTGAAATACAGAAGATCATCAACACCTATTTTGAAAACCTCTACTCTCAAAGGTTTTATAACACAGAAGAAATAGACAGATTCCTAAAGCATATGAAGTACCAAAGCTAGGTCATGAAGATGAAAAACTACTGAATAACCCAAATTCTATTAATGAAATTGAAAACGTAATAAAATTGTTACCTACAAAGAAGAGCCCAGACCCAGACGGATTCACTGAAGAATTCTACAAGACATACAAAGAAGACCTAATGTCAACACTCCTCAAACTCTTCATTGAAATGGAAAGGCAAGCAATCCTTCATAAATTGTTCCTAGAAGCAAATATTACTCTAGCACCAAAACCGGAGGAGGACCCAACTGAAAAAGAGAACTACAGACCAATCTCCCTAATGAACAAAGATGCAAAAATCCTCAATAAAATATTGGCAAATAGGATGCACCAAATCAACATGAAGATCATACACCACGTGCAAGTGGGATTCATCCTAGGCATGCAGAGATTGTTTAATATATGTAAATCAATAAATGTAATACACCATATCAATAGAGCCAAAAGTTATAATCACATGATCATTACTATAGATGCAGAAAAAGCTTTTGATAAGATCCAACATTCATTTATGATAAGAACCTTGAAGAAAATTGGAATAGATTGTCCTTACTCAATATAATTAAGGCTGGCAATGACAAAACAACAGCCAGTACCATACTAAATGGTCAAAATCTGAAGGCATTTACTTTAAAATCAGGCACAAGACAAGGATGTCCCTTATCACAGCTCCTATTTAATATAGTACTGGAAATGCTGGGCAGAGCAATTAGAAAAGAGAGAGAAATAAAAGGTGTAAAGATAGAAAAAGAAGAATTTAAATTATCATTATTTGCAGATGACATGATACTTTACATAGAAGATCCCCGAAGTTCCATTGAAAGACTCCTAGATATAATAAATAAATTCAGTAAGGCAGCTGGATACAGAATCAATACTCAAAAATCAATAGCATCCCTATACATTAACAACAAAGTCACAGAGACAGAAATAAGAGAGGCCACACCCTTCACACTAGCAACCAAGAAAATGAAATATTTAGGAATTACTCTCTCAAAAGAAATGAAAGGCTTATACAGGGAAAATTATAACACACTGAAAAATGAAATTGAAAATGATCTCAGAAAATGGAAAGACATCCCTTGTTCATGGATAGAAAGAATAAATATTATGAAAATGGCCATTCTCCCAAAACTTTTATACAGATGCAATGCAATCCCGATAAAAATACCATCAACATACCTCATAGAACTTGAGAATTCACCCCTAAAATTCATCTGGAATGAGAAGAAACCTAGAATAGCAAAGACAGTTAGAGGCAGCAAAAGCAAGGCAGGAGGTACCACAATCCCTGACTTGAAGTTATAATACAAAGCAACTGTAGTAAAATCAACATGGTACTGGAACCAAAACAGAGCTGAAGATCAGTGGAATAGATGAGAAGATACAACCACCACTACAAACACACTCAACTACCTTATTTTGATAAGGGAGACAAACATGTTCACTGGAAGAATGACATTCACTTTAATAAATGGTGGTGAAAAACTGGCTCTCCATATGCCTAAAACTAAAACTAGACCCATGCCTATCACCATGTAGTAAAATAAAATCTAAATGGATCAAAGATCTAAATATTAAAACAGAAACACTAAATCTATTGGAAGACAAATTGGGTAAAAACCTTGAAGACATAGGGGTAGGTAGAGAATTGATGAACAGGACTCAAACCGCATGGGAAATGCTTCACAGAATCAATAATTGGGATCACCTCTTATTAAAAAGTTTCTGCACATCAAATGAAATCTCCAGTATAGTGAAAAGAAAGCCCACAAACTGGGAAAAAATCTTAGTGAACTGTCCCTCAGACAGAGGACTTCTGTCTAAAACATATAAAGCATTTTAAAAAAGGAGACCACCAAAATTCAAAGACCCAATCCAAAAATGAACATCTGAGATGAATAAACAATTTTGAGTTGAAGAAATATAAATGACTAGTAAATACATGAAAAAATGTTCACCATCAATGGTCATTAGAGAAATGCACATTAAAACCACACTGAGATTGCATCTCACTCCTGAAAGAATGGCCAAGATCAAGAAAACCACCAACAACAAATGTTGGAGACACTGTTGGGACAAAGGAACTCTCCTGCACTTTTGGTGGGAGTGTAGACTGGTACAACCATTGTGGAGCTCAGTGTGGAGATTTCTCAGAAAGCTGGGACTGGAAGCACCTTTTGACCCAGCTATTCTGCTTCTAGGCATATTCACAGAAGAACTGAAAGCATCATTCCACAGTGATATATGTGCACCCATTTTTATAGCAGCACAGTTTGTAATAGCCAGATCTTGGAAACAACCTAAGTGTCCATCAACTGACGAATGGATAAAAAAGTTATGGTGTTTTTATACAATGGAGAACTACTCAGCTATAAAGAATGATCACATTGACATATAAATAAATGGACACAGACTGAGACCATACTCATAAGTGAAATAAATCAAACTCACATGTATAAATACCAAATATATTCCCTAGTATAAGAAATGATAATACATAGAAGTATGTGGTAATCATGATACCCAATCATATTGGTTTAAATCCATATAATGTTTTCACTCATTAAGTGCAATGTTTTTACCCTGGGTTTTTTGATGTTAGTACAAAAAATAGCTGTTCTGAAGAAAATAACACATCATAAAAGCTAGTGCTGATTTAATATCATCTCCTTTGGAACTCCCATCAAGTTGTTGTACATGTTTCCACTGGATTTAAGATGTTGTATCTTAATATATTTTACTGTGATAGTATAAAAAATTTTTTACAGGCAAAGAGATAATATAGAAATTGTTGTTCATTTTCTGTTAACTGGCTCTAAATACCCTGTAATTCTTTCACTGTGTTGAATGGCTTCACACTGTCTTGATGTGATTGATTATATCTATAGTATAGTATACGAATGATTCTTCTATAGTATAGTATCTTCTATAGTATAGTATGTGATTGATTCTTTATATAGTATACAAAGTTATACTTAAATAAATCAAGGAAAGAGGCACTATGGTGACTAATATTATATTAGATTACCTGGTGGTGAAACCAAATGATGCTTTAATTGTTCAGTTCTGACCTGTGTTGTTCTATTACAATGTCTCTTTTATCTCGATCTCCACCTTTTTTAAAAAAAAATTCTACTTTTTTTCAATTAAAGGAAAGCTAAATTAAAAAATAGTGGGATTTATAATAGTAACTTTTTTATTTTCCTATTAACCTGATTTTAACCCCAGTATTGCTCTCCCCATCTTGTTCTGCCTGATTTTACTATATTCTATTTTGTTTGATAGTATCAAGTTTGAGGGTATAGGCAACCACTTTGTAAGCAATAAGATTTACTATGATGCCCATTATGGTTTGACTATTATCTTCTTTTGAAATTCTGTAAGGTCTCCAGTGTAGATTTTATTGGTCTTGTTCTGTACTGTTTTGATCAATTCTATTATACTTGATGATATAGGGAACTCTTTTTAAAAATACCAAGAGGCACAGTGGAAACCATTTTTGATCACCTGATATTCTATTTTTGCATCAAGTAGAATGCCCATCCTTATGTTCTAACCAACTCTGTTTTGTTAACTCACTTGAGGTTTTATTCTCTTCAAAAAAAAAAGTAATAAGAACTATGGGAGTAAAAAAAAAACCCAAAAGTGTAATTGTTATTGTGAAGAAGAGAGGAAAGGAAGGTGGTCTAAGGGAAGTAGGTGCCTGTTTGAGTGTGTAGGAAGGAAAACCATATTACTGAGCTTTGTTGGATCATTGAACGGACCTGTTTGCAATCTCGCTGTAGGAATGTTCACTTTATATGCTTTAATTTTATAATTTTGACAACTGTTTCTAAGAAGACAATATGTAACCTATTAACTAGTGATTTCTTACTGTATTTTTAATTGAAATTTTGTATTATTTGTACCCTTTTACTGCTTTGCTTTTTTATGTTCTTTTTTTCTCCTTAAATAAAAAAAATTAAACCTGGAATTTATATCTTTTATTTATTTATTTTTTGGTACTGGGGATCAAACTGATGACCTCACACTTGCCAGGCAGGGGCTTAAGCCACTGAGCTAAATCCCCAGCCCCCCAATATATATCTTTCACATCTTATCATCTTCAGAGTAGTTGCCTCTACTCTTGGACTTGATACCAGCAATCATACCAAATGTGAATAAAATCAGTCAAGGCCAAATAATGTTCAAACAAACCAGCTTAAAATAAGTTCAGTCATAGTAAGACAATGTTAGTAATACAGGATTTCAGTTTTAGTTAATAGGAAATTAAGGACAATTACCATCATGGTATAACCTGCCATTTTTGGGTTATCTCTCTGTGCCCTCAAATCTAATATGAGTAGGCAGACCAGAACAAAATATAATCAAAATAAACAGAGCAACAGAACTACTGTAGCTTTTAAATCTTGATACATTTTTAACAATGTGCTCTGCCTTCTTTTTTTATGCAGTTCCTCACCTTTCTCCTTCTCAGGATACTATTATTCACTGTTCAGAGTGATATTAGTTTAGTCTCTTATGTTCCATTTCAGCATACATAAAAATAAAGATGTCTACTGTGAAAAGAATGAGACACATTATGGTAATCATTATCCACTTCTCCAAAATCAGTCTTGAAGATCAAAAAAGCCTGCATTATCCTGTAATTATTTGATTAGCTCTATAATGTTCAGTATATATTCAATGCTTGTGAAGCTGCAAACAACTATTTTGAAGAAAACTAGAGACAATAAGATAGAAAATTAACATCTCAGTGGACTTGCTTTGAAACCTGTGTTTCCTTAACTTGTTTCCTTATGAACTGTTCTGTTTTGTCATGTTTAATCTTACCGTCTTTAAGACAAAAAACAAGTTTGTAGAACATATAAGCATATTAATAAGTTTTTGTTGGATCACTGAGGTGAACTGTTTGCAATGTCATTATTTGAATATCACTTTGTATGCTTTAATTTTGTAACTTGAACAGTTAATTCTAAGATGACAATATGTAACCAATCAACTAGTGATTTCTTATTGTTTATTTTTCAGACTTCTGTATTATTTCTACACTTTTTGGTTTTTTTCTTTAAATAAAAATAATTCACCAAAAATATAAAAATTAAGGTTTAAAGACAAAATATTAAGTACATAGACACTATCCATACTTGAAAGTGAAAAGTTTACCATTTCAGTTTACCATTTTTAGTTACAAGATGCCATGTTGAAGCACAAAGATACTTTAAAAATCTAAAGAGGTATAACTGATTAACTGAAAACCATACAAAATATGTACTTGAGTAGAGCTCCACTTCAGATTTGTCATTTCTGGAAAATTTGTGAAGAAATATTGACATCAAACTTCTGTATTGATTATTTCTTCAGGTCTACTTGGAATTTTTAAAGTAAACACATTTAAACTGTCTGAAGAGTGCTGATTTTTCTATATATTTAACAACAAACATGGATTGCCATATTTCTCACATTGTTCATGCACATAGGATCCAGTGAGTTCTTTCAGATATGTAACAATGATCATGTGTGCTGAGCGTATTCCCATAACACATAGGATTTATCTCTTGTGTGAGCTTCTTCACATATTTTACTTATAATCTGGCTGATGAAAGTGTCTCCACTTGCTTACGTAGCCAGTGGTTCTTCCTAGTGTGAATTCTTTCATATGTTTTGCAATGACTGTATGTGGTAAAAGCTTTGCCACATTATTATATTCATAGTGGAGTCACTGATATATTTTACAAAATCCATGTGTGGTGAAAGCTTTCCCACATTCTTGACATAAACAGGGTTTCTCAACATTTTAAATTTTTTCATGTATTGGACAAAGAGCATTTCTGCTGAAGCCTTTCCCACATTCCTTACATATATAAGTTTTCTGCCCAGGGTGAAGTTTTTCATGCATTATGCAATATGTACTTTTGCTCAAATATTCTCATGATGCTTGTATACACTGGTTCTATCTTGAGTGTGAACTTTCATGTTGCTTACAATGTCCAGGTTGGGTAAAAGCTTTCCCACATTGCTTACATATATAGGGTTTCTCTCCAGTGTGAATTCTTTCATGTTTCTTAAAATCTCCCCGTGTGTTAAAAGCTTTCCCACATTGCTTACATACATAGGGTTTCTCTCCAGTGTGAATTCTTTCATGTATTTTACAATTTGCCCATGTGTTAAAAGCTTTCCCACATTGCTTACATACATATGGTTTCTCTCCAGTGTGAATTCTTTCATGAACCTTACAATATGCACGTGTGTTAAAAGCTTTCCCACATTGCTCACATACATATGGTTTCTCTCCAGTGTGAATTCTTTCATGTTGCTTACAATTTCCATGTCGGGTAAAAGCTTTCCCACATTCCTTACATACATAGGGTTTCTCTCCAGTGTGAATTCTTTCATGTTTCTTAAAAATTCCCCATGTGTTAAAAGCTTTCCCACATTGCTTACATACATATGGTTTCTCTCCAGTGTGAATTCTTTCATGTTGCTTACAAAGTCCATGTCGGGTAAAAGCTTTCCCACATTGCTTACATACATATGGTTTCTCACCAGTGTGAATTCTTTCATGTTGCTTACAAGCTCCATGTTGGGTAAAACCTCTCCCACATTGCTTACATATATAGGGTTTCTCTCCCGTGTGAATTCTTTCATGTATTTTACAGTTTGCCCGTGTGTTAAAAGCTTTCCCACATTGTTTACATACATAGGGTTTCTCTCCAGTGTGAATTCTTTCATGTATTTTACAATTTGCCCATGTGTTAAAAGCTTTCCCACATTTCTTGCATACATATGGTTTCACTCCAGCGTGAAATCTTTCATGTTGCTTACAATGTCCAGATTTGGTGAAACCTTTTCCACATTGCTGACATACATAGGATTTCTCTCCACTGGAATATTTTTCATGGATCTGAAATTTGTGGTGTGTTTCTGCTTCTTTCACATTCACATTACCTTCTGCAGTACAAGGGAATACTTCTTTACACTGATTCCAAGATGTATGTCCATAGGATTTCCCTAGCTTGTCATTTCTGTAAAAAAACAACAACAACAAAAAAAAATCACATATCGGATTCATAACCATATTACTAAGTTTTTATTGGAGATATGAACAAAAATGTTTGCAGTCTTGCTGTTTGAATCCCCACATCATATGTTTCACTTTTGTATTTCATTAACTATTTCTATGAGCAGCATATGTAATCACTGTCTTTAGATTTCTTACTGTCTATTTTCACTTCGAAAGTGGTATCATTTCTACTTATTTTGGTTTTTTTTAGTCTTTCCTTACATTAAACAACAAAAAAGAAACATTCACAGTGAAATGGGTCTCAGTTTAGTGACTGCATTAATGTCAAGTTCTGTTTTTAATGCCTGCTAAGAAACTCTGACCATGAAGTAACAGATGGCCTTGTAAGACATGTTGAAAACAACCATTCCCAAAAGACTGGTACACACTTGGAAATCTTAAAATTTGGTACCTTTTGAAATGCAGAATCTTTAGCTTCACTTTGGGCATGGGTACATATGTGTATCATATACAGATCATTATGATATGTTTCCCCATCACAATCTCCCTTCTGTCCTTAACCTGTAGTTCCCTTTTCCATATAGTCAGTCTTACTTTTCTCTATTAACTCTTTCATTTCATTCCACAAATATATTTTGGTTTCTCATCTAAGAAAAACCCTGTGAACTTTTAGGTTTTATAGCTGAGCTATTTCACCGAATTGATGGGAGAAAGAACCACCTATTTCTTATGGCAAATGATGTTATATTCTTTATTTTTTGACATTATATAACACATATTTTTCTTTTCCATGCTGGGAATGAACAACAGCTATTAGCATAAAATCTATAGCTTTTTAAATCTGTTTTAAGAGATTTTCACTGATCATTAAGCTTTGAAGTTTGAACTTGAATTTGCAATTCTGCAAAATCTGATTCCTAGTGTGTTGGATTTACAAGAATGCACAATCACAAAGAGTGTATTAATGTTTTCCTTCTCCACAAATCCAGTGATAGATAGCTAAGCTTCTTCAAGACCTGATCTATTATAACTTGATCTGCTTTGTGCATGAGTAAGCATGTATCAGTATTTTATGTGCATTTTGAATTTTTAAAAATATATCCACGACAAGTATGAGGGGATCACTTTCTAGAGACAAGTGCACACTGATATTCAGAATGAGCGCACTTAACATTCTACCAGCCTTCTAAGAATTTTAGTCAGAATGGCTGATTCTTTAGAGCATGGCTTGGAAACACAAGAACTCCATTTTATTTCAAGTTCTATTGCAATCTAAGCAACTTTTAGATGATGAATGTGTTGTAGTCACATGTATATATGGGTAGAAAAACTGAAGAGAGAATGTCATAACTCAAAGTGTATGCCTTTCATACACATCTATAATCAAATGTCATACATTTTCTTGATTTAATCCACTCATTATACATACCCTAGCTTATACGTCTTTGGAGAATATTACTGACAATAAATTGAATGGTGCCTCATTTCTTTGGCGGTATTTTTTTGCTGACTCACTAATTACTCAGGAACATTCCTTCTCCTTATGAGTGTGAATTACCTTAAGTATCTCCAGTAAATTTTGCATTCTTTTTCAGCTTCCTGGATATCCCCAAGTGCTCCTGAATTGTAGACATAGAAATACCAGTGCTCATTAAAACAATACATACAAATTAATAGATTTTGTTTAGAGTTATGATATACTGTGTCCAGGTCTGAGCTATTTTTAAAAATATTTTCACATTGTTTTTAATGAAACAGCGACATACAACATTCTGACAGCATGAGTGACAAAAGTATTTTGTCATTACCTATTGCAGTCATGTTCCTAAAGGTTTCGCCCATCACGTCTCTGTAGAGGTTCTTTTGGGATGGACTCAGCAAAGTCCACTCCTCATTGCTGAAGTTCACGACCACATCCTCAAAGGTCACCACCTCCTAAAGGATCATACATATATTTCTCACACGAAGGTTGAGACACCAGGTTTGGGATATCTTAAATTCTCTCCTACAAATCTGAATCAAAAGCAAAATGTGGTTTTATATATCTATAATGCCAGCACTCAAAAGGCTGAGGCAGGATGGTTTCAGTGAGTTCAGGTCAATTCTAGGCCCTGAACTCAAAAGGATGAGGCAGGATGGTTTCAGTGAATTCAGGGCAATTCTAGGGTGTTCAAATCTAGCTGATATACATATAGAAAGCTTGTCTCAATAAAACAAAGCAAAACTAAACAAATACCAAACAAACAAGCTGAATGCAACCAAACAAAACAGCTGAATGAAAACTGATTTCTTCAAATTTAAATCCATGTCTTGGTCATTAATTTTGTGTATATACACATTTTTGAAGACAGCAAATTTGATGATAGATTGCAACCCACTGCTAATGTAACAGTGAAATAGGAGCACTGATGCTTGTGCTGAGTCACTGCAAAATTCCCTGTGTACTGTCTCTAATGCAGAGCTCACAGTGAGAAGCCTGCAGGACCAGCATTCACAAAGCACAGAGGTAGATAAATATCCCATGAATCAACTGGGAAGCCAAGCAAGCACCTCCCTTCCCTGGTAAGTGGTGGCAGTGTGGCAGACTGTGGACCATCAAGGGGGCAAACCAGCAACAGCTCCTGAGATCCATGCCATGCTGGAATTTAGGACACTTGGAAGGCAAGCAAGCACCACTTCTGCCTGGTAAGTGGCAGTCTGGCAGAATGTGGCCCTTCCAGTGGGAGAACTAGCAGCAGCTCCTGAGATCCACGCCACGTGGGAACTTAGGACGCTGTGAAACCAAACAACCGGCCTGTCTCCCTACTAAGCAATAGTGAACCTACTGATGCACGGCCTAGAATCAAACATCCCACTTCCCTACCCCTCTCCTCCTGTCACCCCCCCCCCCCGTTAGCAAATGGGAACCAGAAATCTGAGCGACTCCTGGGAAGCAGATGATAACAAATAAGGGGGATTTCCTTCTACTGTCTCTTTGAAGGCAAATATTTTTATTACTGTTTTGCTCTTTTCTGATTAATGGTATTGCTCTATTCAATATTCTGTTTTGATAAGTACTATAATGTTCTGTATTTCATCTCATTTTGATATACGTGTTTGAAAGAACAACTATTGGGGCTGAGGATTTAGCTCAGTGGCATAAGCACCTGCCTTGCAAGCAGACAGTCGTGGGCTCGATCCCCAGTACCGATAAAAAGGAAAAAGACAAAAAAAAAAAAAAAAAAAAAGAAAGAACAACTATTATAAAGATAATAAAATATACTGTGATACCCATTATTGTTATCGCAGTAACCAGTTGTGAAGTTGTGTACCAATTTCACTGTATGATCTTAGTTGGCCTTATTCTGCCTTGTTCTGTTGTATTTTACCACTTTCAAAATTAAAAAAAAAAAAACTCATCAATCACTTTGATAATGTCTCTTCAAATCTCATTTAGACCAGTGAGTACTTTGTTCTTAATATACTTCAGCAGCATTTTGAAACGTGAATTTGGTTTCATAGAACAAAACATACATAACATCCAATATGGTACATAAATAACTCAAATGTTAGTGGAAAATGCTGTTTTTAAAAAAATAAGTATGTAAAATGGAACGAGGCCCAATCTGTAATTTATAGCTCACTTTCACCAAGCGTTCACTTTCAATTTAGATATAAGGAATATATCTTGTGAGGCTGGTGAAGGACTTCTTCCTTGAATTTGGGGCTATCCTAAGTTACAGAGCTGTCTAAAATAGAGAAATCCTGACTGTGACACCCCACAGACAAAGTAAAACTTGAAAAGAGACTGCATAAGACACCTTTGGTTTGTTTTTAAAAATTATAGCCATATAATATGGAAAAATTCCAACAATATTCAACACTTTCTGGAAAACAATGTGGATATCTTCCATACAACAAAGAAAACACTTTCATAGTTGGGTATTTAGCTCAGTGGCATGAACGCCTGCCTGGAAAGCATAGGTCATGTGTTCGATCCTTGGTACAAAAAAAATCCACATTTTACCTTCATGACACTTGGGCATAAATAGAGATAATCCAAATTAGATCTCAAGTATGGAACAGAAAATTCATGGGTTGGCAAGGATGTGAAATACTGATTGTTGCCAGAGCTGGTGTTGATCACCTCAAGGAAGCAATCAGAACCCAACTTTAACTTCACACTTACTCTATGAACTACCTGAATGTCAGTGAAGACCCTCTCTGTTGTATGTCCTGCTATTGGCTTCATGCACTCTGTCAGTCACTTGCACATCCTTTCCACGCTCCCCTGATCCATCCTCAGCAGGAACCCCTTCATGCCTAACTATTGATACCACTGCAAAATTTCTGTTTAGAGCTTCTCCTTTACACCACTTAGTAAATTCCAAGGCAGAGCATTTCCAAGCCACTAAATCAGCTCTTAATTCAGAGATGACACACCTTTTCCTTTCCATTCAGAAGGAAATCACGTGTATATGTCCATGCAAATGCCTAAATTTCAGCATTTTTGATGAGAATTTAACCGGTAGCCCTTTCTGGAATTTGTACTTCACAAATTTTTACCCCGTCCTTGATAACACTTTCATATTTGCTTCATTTTTCTCAGACTTCAAAACTTTATGGTTGTTCTCACAAACCTAGTGTGTGAGCAAGGGTGCCACCTAAATAATTATGTTCAGAAATTATTTTGCACTGATCTGTATAATACACAGGAGTTCACAACTTGTTTGGCAAGCCTTTCTCCACTGAGGCACACTACTACATATCTCTGAATTCTCAGGACCTTTTTCACTACCTGTCATGTGGATGGAAATAGGAGAACATACTATAAATTTAGGAGATCACTATAAATCCAAAAAAGCCCAAGTTTAAGTTGAGCCATTGTGGCTATGAGGCCCTGCATTACAGACATTAATAAACTCCGGACATTCTAGATCTGCTACTCTGAGGAAAGGGAGCAGAGACCTAGCTCATTACTGCTCTACAAACTACAAAAAGCATCATAGTCAGGGTCTTCCCAAGCTCCTTCCAGTGCCTAAGATTGTGGAGTTACCAGGCTAGCAATGAATTTCAAAGATGATACTTGAGTCTACTGCTGTCATAGTGAAGCCAGGGTTCTGGGGACACCAAATCACCCTTACCAACAGCAAGAGGCAAAAGAAACAGTGAATGACCCATGGTCAATGCTGGAGGACCTCAGGAGCTGAAGCTAAGTAAATACCTGGGGCTCCAGACACTGGAACTACTCCTAAATACTTGTAACTGGTTTCACACAATCCACCCTACTTCTGGGCTCCCATCCACAACCTCACTATTCCATGGTTCCAGGATCTCTCAGGATCTTTGCTAATCAGGCCACAGGACATCAAAGTACTAAATGAGATCCAGCAAGCATTTTGGTACCAGTATTATACTCAGAACAGATAAATCATCCTGAGACACTGGAAGAGACAGAAGTCACAGCCAGCAATGCCCCTCCTGATTGGACAGTTCATATAGCCTGCCCCTTCATCACTGATTGACTCCTGCTCTACTGCCTTCCTTCTGAGTCAACAATATACAGGGAAAGGAACCCCTTCCTGCAAGAGAGAATCCCAAATGATAGACTGTAGTGCAGAGACTTCTGGAGCTGCCATTCTTCTACAGTGGTGAACTGAGTTAGACAGAGGAGTGTTTGTACTGAAGAGCTTTACCTCAGGCTTTTAATTTTCAAATCCATTTTATTTCAAGGAAAAAAGAGCACATCAACTAAAATTGAATTTCAAAACATGTCAATCAGAGGGCAACACTGGTATATACATTGCACATTGTCATCCCCAGATCATTCACCCAGAGCACAAGACATCTCTAATCAATTTTCAAAAAAGTACTGTTACAGGCAACTGAGTTACTTAAATACTCTTGACATGAACCAAGGTTAGGTCCTCCAAGGAGCTAATGCAGGAAACCAGATAACTTGCAACTATGGGGAAGACTGACACCTCATGCTATGGGCCAAGGCTCAAGACAATGATAAACAAATTCATCCATATTCTAAGGATAGATATTCTAAATAGTTCCCTTGCACTCTGAGGAAGTTAGGAGTCACCATTGAAAGAAATATATCCTTATCCTAATGACTGACATTCTGAATAGTTCCTGTCATACTGAGGAACTCAGAAGTCACCCTGCCAAACCGCTAAAGGAAGAGTCACAGCTGCCTAAGAATGTCTGCTTTCTATGTGACTCCCTTCCCCCCTTGTTCCCAATTTAATCAGCTTTATATGAACTTAATAATCCTATTGGCTACCATAGCTCTGACCCATCTTATGCCCATCTGCATTGTGAGTTCCTAGTTTTCCCCACCTTAAACTCACTTCACCACATGATTTTATTCTATAAAGGTCCCTAGAAAGGACAGTGTTTAGCAACCTGCTCAGGACCCCTTCTCTCTCTCAGGCAGCTTTCTTTCTCTCAATAAGTACATTCTTAATTTTGATTTCTTCATTCCAATCAAAGGATGTACTTCAAAGTGTTTTACCCTAGAAACAATTGCAGGATCTCATGGTGGTAGTTCAAAGTGGAAGAAGGTGAAATCAGGGATGCTTACTCATATGGCCACTTCCTCTATTCCTCTTAATTACAACTTCCTCTTTCTTTCCCTGGGGCCTAATGAAAAGTCCCATCAGCTACTGCATGACATCAATCTCCCCTCAGGCACCACATCCAGTCAAAATCCACATATACCCCATAACCCCATAGTCAGTTGGAAAAAAAAAAGCCAAACACTTAGGGGCTGTGGGCTCCTCTCCACATTCTTTAAGTAAAAGGCCATTTTTACATTTCTTATATTCTGCTTCTCTACTGTGCTAATTTATCTCCTCAGTAACTTCAGTAATCTAATCCATTTTAAACCTATCTCACCATACAATTTTATTCTATAAAATTCCTAGAAAAGACAGAGTCCTTTGCTA